CTGAGGCAGTAGGATTGCTTGAGCCCAGGAGTTTGAGGTTGCTGTGAGCTAGGCTGACGCCACGGCACTCACTCTAGCCCGGGCAAAAAGAGTGAGACTCTGTCTCAAAAAAAAAAAAAAAAGAACCACCACTGTAACATGCTAAATATCTGGTGAAGGAAACAGAAACATTTGGGAAAGAATTCTAATGTGCGAGGAGAGCTAAGATAGAGGCATAATCAAAATGCTGTGGGCATATAAGGAAGAGAGAAAATGATACTTATTTCCTATTGGGGAGATTGGGACATTAGTTTTGAAGGAGATAGAATTTAACTTGCGCCATATGTAGGGTGATCTACCATCCCGGTTTTAAAACTGAAAGTTCTGCATCTTAGTTGGCCAGACTAACTGTAATGAACAGCTCTAACTTAGAATTTATTCCAAGGGCAAGGCACAGTGAGAGACGGTCTCAACAGCAGGCGGCTGGGAGCAGTAATGAGCGGATGGCCAGGCCCTAGAGTTGCTGACTGGGCACTCTGCACAAGGCCCTGGGGAGGGCTGAAGATATTCAGGAGAGCGGGGCGGCCCCTTACTGTGCAGCATGTTGTACAAGGCACCAGGAAAATGAGGCTCAACCTGGCACACAGGTGGTAGCTGAGTGGCTTTCTTTAGACTCAACATGTGCCCTAGAGCTTTACAGTCTTAGGACTCCTGCAATGCACCCATGGGGGCTTACTCAGGCCATATCACGGCCCCGTAGGAATGGGAGTTTGAGAGCCCTGCAGTATGAGTATGGGATGGAAGGAAGAGCGGATTTGGAGGAGTTGTGGTTTGGACCCTCACCTCAACCTCAAGTTGCAGCGTGCGTGATCAAAAAACTTGCAGCATGCTCTCACATGTACCGTCCCTTTCGGAGCTCTATATAGATCCAGGAGGCAGGAAACTGACTATTTAAAGAAAGGCTTGGTCACATGGCCAGCAGGGGCAAAGTTGGGACTCAAATTGCAGGTGTTCTTTCTGACTCCAGGCCCAGGGCATTTCTCTAACTTTTCAAGACGACTGGACATTACCCGAAACTTTGAAGATTTTAACAACCTTATGATTCAGTGTCATCTTCGTATACAGTAATGACTACCCCTCGGTATCCGTGGGGGATTGGTCCCAGCCCCCAACCCCAACTCCATACCCAAAGCCACAGATGCTCAAGTCCCTGATATAAAATGGAGTAACATTTGCATATAACCTATGCACATCCTCTAGTATACTTTAAATTATCTCTAGAATAATTAATAATACCTAACATGGTGAAAATGCTATGTAAATAGTGGTTATACTGTATTGTTTTTTCATTTGTATTATTTATTGTTTTATCTCTTTCAAATATTTTTGAGCCAGGATTGGTGAATCAGCGAATGAGAAACCTGTGGAATGTGGAAGGCCAGACTGTACTCTGCTCAATCATCTAGATCACTGGTTAGTGTATTAAGTCTCATATGCTCTGGGGCGGATGAAAAAGCAATCACTGAATTTATAATCTCTCATCTCCTTTCTTTACCTCCAGCATCTTGCAACCATGCTCTAGAAATCTCGGCCATGTACATCAAGCACCACCCAACGAGCAAGGCACTCACTGTTGGAGACGTTGCAGATGCGCCAACGACACATAGGACCATATTTGTGCACATGCGTGGCTTATAAATACATGTATAAATAGAAAAATATATTAGGCTGGTGGTGTCTGAATAGAGTCTCTTGATCTTGATCCATGATATGATTCAGTCAAGCAGATGCAGGACACCTACCCCTCGAGGTGGAGTATGACTGACTGATACCTGCTTTTCTAGTCATAAGCTAATTTCTCTGTCCCTTTGTCCCCAAGGGGCTTTGAATTTTGTTCTTCTGAGAAAATGCTCTTGAGGGTACAGGAGTCCAGTCCCAGCTATTTTCAAAGGTTCCTTTCTCTGTAGCTAGTGTCTGCAAACTCACCACACTGTCTTCTCTGTTCTACTCACTGGGCTCTCGCAAATCCTTCACTAACTTTCCCCCTGCACACAGCCACAGCTGGTCATGAAGTCCTCATTAGTAACATGAGGCTACTTGATAGTCACCCACCTTACACGATTTTTGAGAAAATTAATTATGAAGTGTGAGAGAATTTTTGAATGATACGAAATGATAGGTCAGTTTCTTATAACATTTTTTTTTTAAAAGAAAGCTAAAATCCTGCAATTTTTAGTGTTCTGCCTCCAGGAAATTCACCTCACTTTGGCCTAAGGCAAGTCACCTAGTATGACATGTCAGTTTTCTGTGTGTAAAGAGGGACAACGATCATTACCTAGCTCACTGGGATTGCCAGGCTTAATTACTTATGACTGAAAAATGCTACAAAGAAAAAGTGCTCCATGACAACAACCACACACAACTCTTTGTGGTATCTTACTTCATTCTCTGATTTCTCCCCTATTTAGTTCTGCTGCTGTACTAAAAAGTCATTAGTGGTAAATCTGCTTGTATTTTTCTGCATTTTTTGCTTTTTAACATTTTAAGGACCTTAAGTGTTATCATAGAAAATATAAAACAGCTCAGAATATTCCCTCCTTATGTCTCTTTGAGCCAGTATCATAGTAGCCCTCGAAGTGGAGTGCTCAAACCAGAAGCAGCAGCAATACTTGAGCTTCTAGTTCCCCACATGTGCACCAGGACACTCTAGGGCACCGCAGCAAACTCACAGGGGTGCCGTGGGATATTTTAAAATTTTGAGACACTCACAGCAATAGTGTACATCTGTCAGACCCCGGGCAAACTACTACTCCAAGGTAGTTCATGCTTTCACCATGAGATCCTCTTGACAATGTTCCTTTCCATGAAGCCATTTCTTGTGAAGCTGGGTTTTTGGCAGTTGTGATAAAAAGCAGGTGCTGTGTGGAAATCGGTGTTGAACAGAAAATAAGGGTGGTGAGAGCCAACCTGATTCTCAGGTTTAAGAAACCGTGCGGGGTCCAACCAGTGCACACATCCCACAATTATTAATTGTGCTTATTAATAATGAAATAAAATATTATTGCTCTTTCAAGTTAGGGTATTGAAATTATAGCTGCTAAGTTGTTAGGACATAGATACTTCTTAAGTTTCAACATAACTACTTAATAAGTGTAACTGTTAGGTATTTCTTTTGGCTTAGTAATAAGGCTACCAGAGAAGTCTGGCAGCCCCACCTAAGGGGACTGTGAACAAATTACTGAGTACAGAGGGCACCATGAACCAAGGAAGTTTGGAACCTCTCCCATGAGAACTTGGTACAAATGCAAATTCTTGGGCCCACTCCAGACTTACTGAATCAGAAACTCTGAGGGTGGGGCATAGTGATCTGCATTTTGATCAGGCCTCCAGGTGATTCTACCGCACGTTCAAGTTTGAGGAACACCGCAGTAGTACATATCCTAAAGTAGCCGGTGTGCTTGGGCATGTGGATGTTCAGTTGGTAAATTAACATCAGGCCAATCTCACAGTTTGAATGAAAAAGTACAGAAATGACCCAACTGGGGCAAAAACACCCCCAAAATTAATTTATATAAATGCATACATCTTTCTGTCTTAAAGCTCATTCTATACTTTTAAAATGATGAAAACTTAACTGTTTTCATTATAAACTGTGAATAATTCGTGCATCATCTTTCTCTTTGGCATTCTGGAGAACCCACAATGCCTTCTGATTTCTGAAAATGGAATCATTCTATTATTGAACATTTCAGAGTGTTGAGAATGCATCCTATCATTTCTTTCAGAAGATGAGATTTATGGCTGGCCAGTTAGGTATGATCCCAGATCTTCAACATGAATCTAATTTGCAGTCTCTTCTAACCTGACAGCAGCAGGACACACCGCACACACGCTGTTGGTGTTTCTGCAGCCCGGGGTATGGAAGGATGAGGCGCGAGGGAGCCACTGGGTCTGGTGAAAACACATGGTTGTTTGAGGGTTAGAGACTTTGAGGGAAATCTCCTGTGCGGAGTAGCAGATCTCAGTATTTCATCCCAGTTAATCCCCTTAAGCTTCTGTACATATGCAGAGATTTCCAAACTTTTGAGTACTAAGTCAGGAGCTTTCAGCAACAATCTTCCTTGGGAGTCCCGATCTCCTTGCAATATGGCAGAGAAACCCTGAGCATAAGGAAGCTGCCCAGGAAGGCACATCTATTTGGATACACAAGAAGAGAAATCTTTTATTAGCTTGAATTCCCTGGTATTGGAATGATTTTAGTGTTTGACCTTGAGGTAATTCACAGCAACACTGGACAT